GGTTATATAGGTACAGTTTGGGAGGATGGCAGGCCCTGAGGAGTATCCAAATTGCTGTTTATTTCCCACTTCCTGTTTCCTTTCAAGAATTCAGAGCTGCCGAGTCTGCTGGAGGCAGGTTGGCAGCATAGACTGTATATAAAAAGATGCATGTAGCGTGCAGGTGTTAAAGTAAAGCCACTGCAGAAGCGATTTAAACCTGGCACAACAGGGGCGGCAGATTAAAACCCTGATGAATTTATGTTCTCAGTAGTTTTGTCAGTGCAAAAGGCACCATATGGGCTAAAACAAAACAGCATACTATAAATGAGGGCGGGTCCAATTCATGATTGACAAATCATCAGTGAATGAGCGCGTGTACTCTGCTCAATTTTTAAAGTTAAAGCTGAAAACGCTAACGCTGAGGCTTCAAAACTGAGTTTCACACAGTAACCTGGCTACGTCCCTCTTTTATATACAGTCTATAGCTTGTAGATCGTTTCAGCCAATGAGTGTCTTGGTCCTCTCGGTGAGTTTTGGGGCTTTTCTGAGAGGATGATGCAGATTTCAGTGCAACAAACCACATTGCAGAGCAAGCAGCTAGCTAGAACAACAATATAGCTACCACCAACGTTTGCAGTAAAACTACCAGAAAGGTACATTAGATTATACGAGTACAAGAGGTCTTACAATCCTACTTAAAATACTCAGCACCGCCTCGCGTCGCTCGACACGTCACTCACTGATAATCACCACAACACTAACAGACGTCCATCGCTTCAGCACCGTGCTGCAGACTGAGCTTCCAGGTCTCAGTAACACACAGACACAAGTTGTGACATACTGAGATGATCACCTGCAGCGGCTGTGCTTTTTCCGAGACCGTTTAAGTCGTAAATCGCGTCGACGGCATATTTCAGAGCTTCGGTCATCCTCGAAAAGATCTATGAGACATTCAGACCCAAAGGGACTCATCTGCTTTGGCGCAAATGGGCGATAGTTCCTAAATCTTACGACGCGGTTCAACAAATCAAAGAATTTTGAAGCCGGTTTGGTTTTTCCCTCTTCTTTCAAAGTCTTCCACGAGCCCCGGAGAAAGCAAACACTTCTGGCAAGAATGGAGTTTGGACGAACTTCCTGTCGGAGGCTGCGACTCTAAAGACAGAGAGACCTTCCCAGTGAAGTGGCGTTAACTCTGGAAAAGGTCACGTGAGAAAACCAGCCACCAATATTTGTATGAAAATACCAAATCAGAGTACCAGAGTTCATGTTCCCTGAACCTAAACCTTTCTTTTTGTAAGCCTGGGTTTTGCTGAGGTCGTCCTGTCGCCCCTGTTCCCTTACGTGCTGCGATAGGTCTTGATAATGTCTTTGATCTGCCTCCTGCAGATGGGGCAGCAGGCGTTGGACATCTTCTTGAGTTTGAGGCCGCAGGTGTAGCACAAGCACATGTGGCCACAGGCGTAGATGACCGTGTCCACGGTGTTCTCGTAGCAGATGGAGCACTCGTCGGACCACGGCCCGCGGCCGGACGGGAACGTGGGTGACTTGGGGAGGCTGGCCGGAGAATTCGGAGTTGTTCCTGTTGCAAAGACACAAAGACGATGCTAAACAGGTGTTCGATACCGCAATGCATCAAATAACCTGATGTCATACAGG